TTCCTGTGCAATGACGTTTTGTCATTATTGTCATTTTATAGATGAGAAAGGTGAAAATCAAATTATTTAATTTAGCTAAAATCTCACAAAAGTTCTCTCAAGAGAACAAGGAAATCACGTCTTACCACATAAGGGCTTTCTCTACGGTGACAGATCGCATCTCAAAACAAAACAGAAAATAAGATAAACCAAGCTGTGACGCAGGAAAATAGCAGAGGGAACTGGAAGTTGGATAAAGGGCAGAATGAGTAAAAGCAGAGAGCAGAAGCAAGTTGCATGGGTAGGTGAGTAAGAAACAAGGTAAGAGACAGAAGCTGAGCAGCCAAAACAAAAATAAGATTAAAAAGTGAGTAGAGACCCCATGGCTGGCTCCTCAGAGATGGGCATGCACATGAGAGAGAAAAAGTATCCTTAACATGACCCCATATGATAATCAGCTCATTAAAGCTCATGCATATGAACTACATATTATGGGATGGAGGCAACACACAAGCACACAAAGGCCAAAGTAAGCAGTCCACCTATCAATTACATGGCAGAGTCTGGCTAAAGATTAAGACAGTCTTGGGAAGATAAGAGAAAAAAAACACATACAAATACCCAAAGCACACCAAACTGATGCTGATCTCATTTCACAGAGATCAGTCCACTCTCCTCTCTCTGAGTGTAATACGGTGCTCAATAAACTTTTGCTGCTTGCTTTGCTACTTGTGTGTGTCACGTCCAATTCTTTGTTAAGGACACCAAGAGCCTGGAACTGCACGGCACCATCCGGTGACAGTTGGAGTGCACAGAGGGAAGAAGGTGTTCAATCAGAAGCAGCATTCAGGCTGAATGCATGGTAATTAACAAGGACATGGCAGTTCCACAGACAATAGTTTGGGGAACCTTCACTGCCAGGGTGAGAATTCTGACGTCTGCCTCTAGGCCAGCAAGGGCATGCCATGACAGAAGCAGGTCAGCAGTGGGGCATGGGAGTAGGAAGAAAGCCGGAACAGTGAGCATGCTCAGGAGCACCACTGAGGTCTTCTGTGCAGAAAGGCACCAGCTGATCAAGACAAGGACAGTGGGAGTGGGAGGAAAGGAGGTAAGTGCTGGTGATGTTAAGGTAGAGAGGTGACAATTCAGGTCTGCATCTTAGATGAGTCTCCCTGGTGACCGTGGAGGACCAATTTGAAAGGGCCAAAAGCAGAGGCAGGAGGGCTCTGAGGAATGTACGTGAGGATGAGGTCATGAGCTAGGACACTGGTGGCTTAGAGGGGAATGTAAATGCTGAGAAATATTCAAATAAAATGTATAGGTCTTATTAAATGAGTATATGTAGAGGCGGAAAAAAAGGGAAAAAATGACTCTCAAGACAAGGTGGGCGATGGTGCCTCCGACCAAGAAAGAGAACGTAGGTTTAAAGAAAAATAAATTCCAGCTGGGCACAATGGCTTGTGCCTGTAATCCCAACAGCTGGGAGGCCAAGGCAGAAGGACTGCTTGAGCCCAGGAGTCAGAGACAAGCCTGGACATAGTCAGATGTCATCTCTATGAAAAGAAATACTAATAATAATTCAATTTTGGTCAAGTCTATGGGATATCCAAGTAGATGTGCTGCATGGGCAGTTGGAAATACGATTCTGATGCTGGCAGGAATAACCAAAGAATAGGTTTATAAATCATGAGCATAGAATTGTAGTTGAAAACTTGAAAATGTATAAGCTGCCTGAAGGAGGGTACACAGGGAGGCAGGGAAACTATCATAAAGGATGGACCAAGAATATAGTCTTGGTTCTACATTCTTGGTACTGGTGAAAGAGGTATGAGAAACACTGGGAGAGTTCAACTTCTGGAAAGATTTGGAAATAGAGTTTCAAGAAAAGGAATAGACAACAGCATCCAGTACAACAGAATGTCTAGTAAGGAAGGAAAAGTCAATGGCAAGCAGGTGGTTACTGGTGATTATCAGCAACAGCATGTCAGGAAACTCACAAAGGTAAAGCCTAATTACCTGAGCTGAACATGACTAAAAGGTAAGAAAGGGAAGACTGAGAACAGATCCCTCTTTGGAGAACTGTGCAGGAAAAAGGGAGGCAACATGTCAGGCAATACTAGAGAGGGACCTGTAGCCAAAGAAGGGGTAGAAGGGGTATCAGCATGTTTCTCTCTCTCTTTTTTTTTTTTTTCTTTTTTTTCAGTCAGGGTCTCACTCTGCACCCAGGCTGGAGTGCAATGGCACAATCTTTGCTCACTGCAGTCTCAACCTCCCAGGCTCAAGTGATCCTCCCACCTCAGCTTCCCGAATAGCTGAGACTACTAGTGCATACCACCGTGCCTGGCTAATATTTGTATTTTTTTGTAGCGATTAGAGATGGGGTTTTGCCATGTTGCCCAAACTAGTCTCGAACTCCTGGGCTCAAGCAGTGCACCCTCCTCGGCCTCCCAAAGTGCTGGATTACAGATGTGAGCCACCCTGCCCAGCCTGGCATGTTTCATAGACTAAAGGCAATGGTCTTAGTCTGGGCCCAGGCATCAGTAGTGTGTATACATACGTTTACACATACACATACACACACAGTATGGCATAGTTTAATTAGCAATTTTCTATCTTAGTGGTGTGGTTTACAATTGATAGTGTCTTAAATTAGATGATATATGCTAGCTGTATGTTTATGTAAATTTCACTAGCATAAAAATAACATCACTCTAGGAGAGAGAATTTTTGTTTTAAGAATAGTGCTATATAAATGATGTTGATCATCTTTTTTGCCATGCTTAGCACGTATTCTGATCCCAGGACCATTTGACCATTAAAACAAACAAACAAACAAAAAACCACTTTCTTTTTTAAAGTATTTTAGGTTCTTAGCAAAATTGAGCAGAAAGTACAGAGAGTTCCCATATAGCCCCTGTCCCCATATATGCACAACCTCTCTCACTCATATTGACATCCCACGCCACAGTAATGTTTGTTACAATCGATAAACCTACACTGACACATCATTATCACCCAAAGTCATCATTGGTTTCATTTTTTAAAGCTTCCCTGATGATTCTAACGTGCAAGTGAGTTAAGAAACCACTGGACTCAGAGGTAATGGTCTATCAAGATGAGAAGAGTGGAGATTCAAGAGAGAGGGAGCCAAGGAGCAAGAGCATGAAGGACTACAGAGTCCAACAGATATGAAGATGCAAGCCTCAGCCCTGCACAGTGGCTCACGCCGTAATCCTAGCACTTTGGGAGGTCGAGGTGGAAGGACTGCTTGAGGTCAGGGGTTGGAGAGACTAGCCTAACCAACATATTAATAACAAGACCCCCTCTCTACAAAAACTAAAGTTAGCCAGGTGTGGTGCACGTTTGAGGTTACAGGGAGCTATGATCCTGCCACTGCACTCCAGCCTGAGTGACAGACAGACACTGTCCCATTAAAAAACAAACGAACAAACATGCAAGCCTTGCACAGCTGGAGATGATACCAATACTTCTTTTTCCAGTGGCAATTAAGAAGCAAGCCAAAGTTCTGAGAAATTTTAAGTTAACATTTTTCACAATTAATTTGGCCTTTCGATTAAAAAAACAACAAAAACAAGACTACTGCAGTTCATTCAACCTAAGATGCCACTGACTACAGGATGTGTCTTGATTATAGAATCAATAAAATACAGTATTTTTATAATTCATTAATATCCATTATGTCATCCCAATAGTGTCAACATCACACCCAATTTTAGTTTAAGGCCCTAAAGACTCCTAAGTGATTAAAATTTAAATAGGAGATATGACAATTCAGCTACCTAAGAATACAATTTTTGGAGATAAACTATTAAACCTTGTCAGTCTCCAAGGTAACACAACAAAGTTGTACACAAAACCACTGACAGCTGTAGGCTCTAACACTTTGGTTATGAAATCCCACCCCAGAATCATCACACATGGTCTAAGTGAGTATGTGAGGAGGATGTGAGCACTCTCAACAGGCTCTCCTGAATGCTCACAGCAAGGGGTGTATGTTCACTCAGGGAAATAAGAAGCCAGCCTCAATACGGTGACACAATCACAGATAAACTGCAGTCTGTATAAATGTCCACATTCAGACTTACAGAGTCTGTAAAATTCACCTGCATATTTGATCTTTGCTTTATTTAATACCTGTATTTTGTTTCATTTATTTTGATTTTTGCTCCACTTAATTTCTGAAAAACTAAGCATAAATTTGTATCCAAGCATAAGATTATGAATTATATACTATTTTGAGAAAGCAAGGGGAAAATATACGATCTCAAATTCTATAACTTATTCTGGTTTTGTTCTTTTCTTTCACAGGGAAAAATATTTTTGCTTTTTTATTTTTCTTTTCATTTTGAAATACTCATTGAGGTTTTTGGGGTTTTTTTTGCACACATTATCTGTTCATCCCAAATGGATTTTAATTACTCATTTCTCTCTGACTGAAACAGTAAACATAGCTTTTCCTTTTGAAGATAAAAGTTTACAATATTTATTTATTTATTTATTTATTCGAGACAGGGTCTCACTCTTGTCACTCAGGCTGGAAGGCAGTGGCACAATCTCGGCTCACTGCAACCTTCACCTCCTGGGTTCAAGTAATTCTCCCACCTCAGGCTCCCAAGTAGCTGAGACTACAGGCATATACCACCATGCCTAGCTAATTTTTGTATTTTTTGGTAAAGGTGGGGTTTCACCATGTTGACCTGGCTGGTCTCGAACTCCTGACATCAAGTGATCCCCCCGCCTCAGCCTCCCCATGTGCTGGGATTACAGGCATGAGCCACCGCATATTAGGCCGGGCACCATGGCTCACACCTTTAACCTAATACTTGGAGGCTGAGGTGAGAGGATGGCTTGAGCCCAGCCTAAGCAACTATAGAAACAAATTTTTCTCTACGAAAAAATTTTTAAACAGCCAGGCATGGTGGCACACACCTGTGGTCCCAGTTACTCAGAAGGCTGAGGTGGAAGGATCGCTTGAGCTTAGGAGGCCAAGGCTGCAGGGAGCTGAGATCAAGCCACTGTATTCTAGAGCCTGGGCAACACAGCAAGATGCTGTCTCAACAGAAAAAGAAGAGAAAGATACCACATTAAAAGAAGTTTTATACAAAAGAAATTCAGGTTTAGAAACCACTGTCAAACAACCAATTGAGTCATCAATTAACTATAAATGTAAAGAATCTTTTGATACAACTTGAAACATTTCAACACTCTCCAGCTCCCACATCCAAACTGATGGCCTGAATATTTTTGATGGGTTATCATCCTCGTGTGTATTATAACTTCACTTCGTTCACATTCATGTATATTTTGATAATTTGACAATCATTTTATAAATGCATGAATGTTAACTATAGAGTGAAACTGACAGAATGACAAAAAATTGACAGGATGTTCATATCTTCACAAATCTAATTACTTACAAACTCAAAAGGTAAAGATGGCAGCCTGGCTACAGCGCTCTTGGTTCTTTTTCCCTAATTCTATAATTCGAATTGTGTTTTTCACATCCAAACAGGTAGGAGTAAAGCCACCATGTGGACAGATCCTGGGTTCCGGAGTTTCCATTTAATGGAGCACTGCCGAGAAGAAAAACCCAAATAAAGACACTGCAAATCAGACCAGTAAGGCAGTGAGAGTTCAAATATTATTATGCAAAGAAACAGAAATTTTGAGATTTTTACAGGAATCATCCTGTAATCTAGAACCTGACAAATACAGGTCCCATTTGTGATTTCTAAATACACACACACACACACACACACACACACACACACACATATGGAGATGAATAATAAAAAATATAAAGGTAAATACTGAAGCATTATAGTGGTTCTCTCTCAAAAATAGGACTCAAAAATTAGGGAGGTAGATACGAATGGTTTTGTTTTTCACTTTGTACTCTTCTGTGTTGCTTGGTTTTGGTTTGTATTTCTTTTCCTTTCTTTTTTTTTTTTTTTACATTTACTAAAAAGGGGCTAATGAAAATTAGATAGCTGCTGAAAATGTCAAAGGTTATCTTAAATTGCCAGCTGTCCACATACTATAGACTGTCTTATCACATTGCTAAGTAAACAAAAGAAACAATTATCTCATAATGTCCATTTCAATCTTGATTATCTCACTTGAAATTTGTTCATTTTGTATATTTTTTAAATTGATTTTTATATATTTTTATTCTGATTTTTACTTTTATTCATAGAAGGAAAACAACATATCACCTCATAATGGTAAACTCTTTAATAAGTAAGATATTTTACTAAAAATTTCAAATACATTCTATTTTTCTATCTATCTTGAATGAACAGATAATTATTTATCATTGGCCGGGAGCAGTGGCTCATGCCTATAATGCCAGCACTTTGGGAGGCCGAGGTGGGAAGACTGCTTGAGCTCAGGAGTTCAAGACCCCTAGCCTGAGCAACATAGGGAGACCCTGTTTCTACGTTTAAAAAAAAAAAAATGCTGGGTATGGTGGTGTACACTCATACTTCCCAGCTACTCAGGAGGCTGAAGTGGGAAGACTGCTTGAGCCCAGGAGGTCAAGGCTGCTGTGAGCTATTATCACGCCACTGCACTCCAGCCTGGGCAACTGAGCAAGACCCTGTCTCAAATAAAATAAAATAAAATAAAATAAAATAAAATAAATTTAAATGTTAAAAAATAAAAAAGTATCAGATACTAATACTGGTAATATTAGATATTAAGATGGTAATACTGTATCAGACAGTATTACCATTTCCATCAAAATTTATAGTAATTTTTAAATAATTCACTTCTTCATTTCTTTCATGTTTTCTAAATTTCAAATCTCGATCATTTTTGCATCTGGATTTTTTTCTTTTCAGGAAGAAATACTAGATTAGTACCAGAATGATTTCATTCTCTGTAATGTTACATTTCAACTATTTACAAAAATATAAATTACAGGATTTTTAAAAAACCTTAAGCCTTTCAAGTTTGCTTGAATGTTTGCTAACTTGAAGGTAAATTTTGGTTGACACAGTTGTTCACTTATACTGAAGAATCTGGTGGATAAGCAAGATTCAAGCTTGATACTTCCTAGTTCTCATCTTCTATATATTAGATATACATGAATTTATTAATAGTAAAAAAATTATTGGTTGTTCCTTACTATTCTTATCTGCTTGCCTCAGAACATAAACTGTTTAAAATTTTTTAAAAATAATTGCTATTATTTTAAAAATCACAACCAGTCACAAAGTATTGAACAAATGTTTAATTATAAAATAGTATATTTACACAGGCATATAATTTATATAAAAATTTATATTAACAGCATGATTATATTAAAAGTCGTATGCTCATGAAATTTACATTTAAAATTCCCATACAAGCATTACAAATCTGCTAAGACATTGAAACGAACAACAGATCCTTCTACATGGGACGTAGAATGCTGGCCAGATAGCAATGTCAGCACTGGAATTTGTCAGCTGAGTCATAGCTAAGTGCTCATCACTTTTCTTTGCTCTGGTATTCTTCCTGAATGTTTTTGTTTTATATTTCCCTAAAGAATCACAATGTATGTTCCACAGTTTGTTTAGCTGATTTCACTGACTTTAGCAATTAGAAAGGAGAACAGTGGCATCCTTGCCACACTTCTCTCAAATCCTCTCATTTCTTTTTTTTTGTTTGTTTGTTTGTTTGTTTGTTTTGAGATGGAGTCTCCCTCTGTCACCCAGGCTGGAGTGCAGTGGCACGATCTCGGCTCACTGCAACCTCTACCTCCCACATTCAAGCAGGATTCTCCTGCCTCAGCCTCCTGATTAGCTGGGGCTACAGGCACACGCCACCACACCCAGCTAATTTTTGTATTTTTAATAGAGACAGGGTTTCACCATGTTGGCCAGGATGGTCTCGATCTCTTGACCTCGTGATCCACCGGCCTCGGCCTCCCCAAGTGCTGGGATTACAGGCGTAAGCCACCGCTCCTGGCCACTCTCCTTTATTTCTAAATGATCATCCTGGATAAGAGGTCAGTCAGGTCACGAGTTTTATATTCTGAAGAAGGAAAGTGACAAGAAGCCCCAGAGGTCACACCAAGTTGGCTCAGATTGCCCACAGAGAGGAGACAAAAGCATCTACTGAGATGAAGAGGAGGGGGAGGGAAAGTTTTGCAAGTCTGGAATACATATGGGGTGGAAAGGATGAAAAAGGGAACGACGCAGACAAAATCACAGAAGTCAGTATTTCAGGCTTGATGAAACCACCATTAAAAACTTCTAACTTACTTTGCAATGTCTGGTTGCAAACAAAACCCAAATCATGTCATTACACGGCTTAAAATCCTTCAGTGGTTTTAAGGACACATTGCTCTTAGGACCAAGTTTACTCCTGAATGTAGCAGATTTTTTAGCCCTCTGGTTTCTGCATACCGGTCCCATCATATTCTACATGCTAACCATCTGGTTTATGAGCAGTTTTCCAAAGAGCTACTTAACCCTCAGGACATTTCATATGCTGTGCCCTCCACCCAGAGCACTCTTCTCGCCCACAGTAGGAATTTTTAGTTAAATTGGATCTTAAATTGAGATGGACATGACAGAGTCAATAAATCACAAGCAAGATACTAAAAAAAGTATTTCATAAGTGTAGAGCTTAAAGTAACATTTTGCGGTGTGACTTAGATATTAAGATGCAGAGCTACCAGCTGGACTGTTTGGTGGTCAACCTTGCCTGCTTTCAAGATTAGAGTTCACCCTTAATCCAACTCACCAGGAATATAAATTCTGGCATTTTCTGTTCAGTAAGAGTCTTCGATGCACTACAATATCAACTAAAGGCTGGGAAATGAAATACCTTATTTCAGGGCTCTGTTAACAAAAAGGGGAATCATTTAACATATTTAAACTATGTTCACCATTCAAACGAAATTATCATTTAACTCAAATGCTTAAAAAAATATTGAAGAAAGCAATCTAGGAAGAATGTAACTTACCCAGACCTTTCTCAAGTGCATAGGGTTATTCTTCCTTGCCACCCACACACAGTGTCTTCTGGAAATTCTTAAAGTGTGGGTGGGGTGAGGGGTAGAGGTTCAGTTTTAGGAGTCAGTGACTGAATGGTATTTAAAGCTTTGGTCCTGAGGAAGGTGACCTAAAGAGCCAGTGTGGTCAGAATAGAGAGGAGAGCCAAGAAGAAAGGCTGGTGTTGAGATCAGGAGAAAAAAATCAGCAAAGACAACTCTTTGAAATATCCAGAATGGCTCAGCTACTTGAAGGGAAACAAGCTGACCAGTCAGCCCAATGATTCCATCTGCCTGTTATACTTCTACTAGGAATTAATAAACTATTATTCTAATAAATCTGCCTTATTAATCACAGTACACATATTTCAAAGGAAAATACCTGGCATATTATATACCCTCAAATATTAATTGGTACTCTGAGGAACACTGACTCCCTTTTAAGTGCTAATCTGGTAGCAACTGTATCCAGGTGTCTTTAAAAGATCAGTATGTCTTCCAGTCCTGTCTTGGTAAGACTCCAGCTGAATTTCCCAGTTATACGTGGAACTAGTTATGCCTGGCAGCTTTTATGGCAAGAGTCCTGGGCCACTACTAAACAGTTCACTTTCTCTACCCTTCATTCCATTCCAACATTGTTGAAATTTGGCCACATTTAGTCTTCCAAGGTACCCTACAAGAATACCTATGAGCTCACATACTTTAAGATACTCAGTGGCTGGTCACAGCCACACATCCCTTTACAGCTGCTCCATGCGGCAGCCATCTATACTGAATGGCGTAAAACTATTAATAGATGTGGGTGGAAAAGGTTTTGGTTTGGAGATGGATTTTCTATGAAGACATCTAGTTACTGCAATCCTATAACACATCTAGGATGCAATTCAGCATCCTAGTTAAGAATGCAGCTGTCGAGTCAGAAGAACTAGGGATGCAAACCCAACTCTCCTACTGATTAGATGTATGAAATGGTGAAATCTCAACTCACTAAACCTGAAGTTCCTCATCAATGAGAATGGGATAATAAAAATCTATTTTTCTTTCTTTCTTTTTTTTTTTTTTTTTTTTGAGACAGGATCTCACTCTATTGCCTAGGATGGAGTGCCATGGTATGGTCCTGGTTCACTGCAGTCTCAATCTCCTGGGCTCATGCAGTCCTCCCACCTCAGCCTCTCAAATAGCTGGGACTACAGGAAACACCTGTTAAAGTTGTGTTGTTAAAATTGTGATTGTTATTGTTTGTGTGAGGATTCAGGATCCTATGGGCAAATTTATCTGTATACCAATCCTCCCTCCTCCATGCCTACACAATACAATAGGCTGGTGACCCCAGAGAACAGCACTTCTTGGGTTTACAATATGCCAGGACCTGTAGTCCCAGCTAATTTTTTTTATTTTTTGATAGAGACGTGGTTTTCCCATGTTGTCCAGGCTGGTCCCGAACTCTTGGGTTCAAGTGATCCATCCGCCTCAGCCTTCCAAAGAACTAGGATTACAGGTGTGAGCCACCATGCCCAGCCAAAATTCTATTTCATTCAGTTGCTGTGAAAATTAACTTTTCTATGTTTGCAAATCATTCAGTATACAGTAAATGTTCCAGAATTGGTTGTTAAACTTGTGACTGCTATTGTTTGTGTGAAGATTCAGGATCCTATGGGCAGGTGGACCCAGAGAATAGTATTTCTTGGGTTTACAATATACCAGGGTGAGGACAGGAGAGGTGCCAAGAGGGAAGGGGAGCTGATGGACCCTGAAGGTTTGGAAGCCCAGGATCTAAAACCAGACTTCCTTTTGTTGTTCTGTGCCACCCACTACTGATGCAGAGAAAGAAACATGGGTCTCCTGCCTGACACTGTACCACATGAGGACATTCTTCCAATGGCTGGAAGAAAGGAATAAGCAAAAGGTTACCTGGAGATTAATTACCCTTAGCAATTAGTTACTAAGGGGTCCCCATACCACTTTTCAGTCCATACTTGCTATTTCTCTATTAATTCAGCCAGCCATAATGCTTTCTGATGCTGATGTAAAAGGAAAAATTGTTCATTGATGAAAACTGAGTGTAGAGTTCAAATCCTGGCTCCAACACCTCTTAGCTACATAACCTTGGATAGCTCACCTGGTCACTCTGGTCCTTTTTTCCTGCATTTGTAAAACTAGGTACCGACATATAACTCATATAGCTGTTACTAAGAATAAATATGACATTCAAAAGCACCAGTCCAATAATGTTTGTTCCCTTTATCTTTACTCAATAATTATAGGCCCCTCTTCCTTGACCCTCCAGACATTTTCTTTCTCCTAAGGATACCACTTAGGCTAACAGTGACACCCTGAGACTGACCCTCTGAGAGGCTCCAGGAATAGCAGCAAGGACTGCTACCGCCACCCATGGGTCATATTCCATGTTTAGCTGTCTGGTGGATGCCAGCTCCCCTCAAATTCAGAATCAAAACGGAATTTTCCTTCTTCCCTCCAAAACCAGATATTCTTTCCTCTTTGTGTTCCTCCTGGTCTCTTATTAACACCAGCACCACTTTCTCCAGTTGCCCAGGCTTAAAACCAATTACATACATTTTATTTCTTTGACCCATCCACTCATTTAGCAAGAGAACCATCAATCCTTCCTCAGTTTCCTTTGGCTCCGTTTCTTCTTTCCATTCCTCCCACCACTGGACCTTAGGTCTAGACCACACCTGCTCCTCAATTCCAAATGGAGTCCCTGCAGAAACTATCTCGATTTCATCAAGTTCAAGAGTCCAGGAACTTGATGGTACCACTAATACAAAAAAAGAAAGAAAGAGAAAGAAAGAAAAAGAAAGAAAGAAAGAAAGAAAGAAAGAAAGAGAGAGAGAGAGAGAAAGAAAGAAAGAAAGAAAGAAAGAAAGAAAGAAAGAAAGAAAGAAAGAAAGAAAGAGAGAGAGAAGGAAGGAAGGAAGGAAAGAAAGAAGGAAAGAAAGAGAGAGAGAGGGAAGGAAGGAAGGAAGGAAGAAAGGAAGGAAGGAAGGAAGGAAGGAAGGAAGGAAGGAAGGAAGGAAGGAAGGAAGGAAGGAAAAAAATAGTTGGCACATTTGAGGGAAGCTGGGCAAGGAGGGGGACGATAGTCAAAACATCCCAAGGAAGAATAAGAGGGTCACTTTTTTTTAAAGGATGAAGTTTATATTGTAGTAAGTCAGATTAAGAAGATACAGAGGACTCGAAGTCATGGTTGAAATTCAGATTAGAAATGTCATCCAAATATAGAAAATAACAAATAATAAAAACCATTTTTCCATATACAGTATTCTGTAGAGTCAGTGACGTGGTAGACACAGTGATTCTAGTCCATGGCCACAGCTTAGCGGCAGCAGTTATTTCATTTACCAATTAATTTTCTTCAGTGCCTGGCATATCTATTTCAAAACCAGCAATTGTAGCTGTTAATTGAATGCTTACTATGTGGCAGGCACTGTGCTGCATTATCTACATATTCTCTGCCTTGGTCCTTATCCAACCCTATGAGGGGCACTGCAATCATTCAAAGATCAGAAATGACAGTATAGAGATGGGGGAGAGACATGTCCCTGGGCTCACCTTTACAAGAGGAAAATGGTTTGCCCAATAAGAAAATATTCATATAGTACTTAAAGTTTCCAATGTCTTTAATTCTTATCATCTCATTTGAGTCACACAATAATCCTATGAGCTAGGCACGACATCAATTATTATCTCTGACTTACAATTGAGAAAGGCTCCAAGTCATGCAGGCCACTGTCTTCTTGCCTTCAAACATCTCTGCATGTTTCTTTCTAGAGCTGGTGGCAAAAGGACCATATCTGTGCCCATTTGTGAAGGGAGCAAAGGAGTATCTTTGGCATTACCAACGTCTCCTTTCTGATCCGAGGGAGAGTGTGTCACTCAGGCAGCTCCAAGTGGACGTTCACACAGTAGGAACTGAGGCCTCTTGCCAACAAGTGTGTGCAGGAGCCATGTTGAAAGTGGATCCTTCAGTCCATTCAGCCTCCAAATGACGACAGCCCCAACTGTCAACTTGACCACAGTCTCACGAGAGGCCCTGAGCCACATCATCCAGATGAGCTGCTCCAAAACTCCTGACTTGTTCCTGAGACAATAAATATTTGTTGCCTTAAGCCCCTAAATGATGAGGTAATTTGTTACACAGCAATAGATAACTAATGCCAATCCAAACCCTGAGACGTATCAAGCCTGAGGGTTTCAACATGAAGAAGCTGACGAAGAACTGGGATCCCTAGAGAGTTCATGAATTCTCTTCCAGGAGACGTATGCAAGTGCAGATGCCGAACTGTCGGGCAGAGGTATTGCAGAAGGGATGCACCCACAGGATGGAAACTTGCATAGATATCCCTTCAGGTTACTTCCAACCACAAGACCCAGTGAATTTAATTGTAAACTTCTCCCTAGTCTAGATGTACACATGGTTGTTGCCAGAACTGAAGAGCTAACAAGCTACCTAAATTCTATCCAAAGCCTCCTTGTTTAGAACATTTGAAATAATTTATTATTTTTGATAGAGAAAAGTGGTAACACAGGGAGTTTCATTTTCACCTCCTACTTCCCAAGACAACTGGCTCACTTCCCAAGCCAACCTCAACAACAAAGTTCTATCTCAGTGAACTACCTGAGTCTTCTCACCCTACCTGCCCCAGCCTACCTGCCCCCAGGAGAGTTAAGAGCTCTGACAAAGAGGAAGCCTGAATATACTCTTACTCTTAAGGCACTGGTTTTCCAACGTTTCTGATAATTACTACATAACGAACACATTCACACACACATTTAAGCAAAAGTTGACATTTAAGAAAACAATGCTCACCATGAGAACATGAAGGGCATTTTGTCTCATACTGTTCTACTACTTTGTTCTTCTTAAAAAAAACAGCTGGTCAAAATCCACAACCCAGTAACAGGTCCCAAGAAACAGTTTGGAGAATATATCCTAAGACATATTTCTGAACACTGAGTAGCTCCTAAAATCCTCCTAGGTAGAGACAAAAGCAAAAAATTGAAATAATAAATCCCCCTTCATCCCAATCAAGTGTAAATACTTAGTTCCACTTCACCCACATCCATAAAATACACACTAAATGCTGGGGCTTCCATCTAATCAAGAAACACCTCAGGCAGTTTCTATTCCAATGTAAATAATTATCCAGGCCCCAAAATTCTTCTAGTTCCACAGTTAATGACTGGAAAATCCACAAACAACTTCAGCTAATATAACTCCCTTATCACTCTTAACAAGTATGGCTCAAAGGCAAAACTTCAATCTTTTCTAATTTTTTTAAAAGTAGGCAGGCAGCAAAATAAAACATCAGCAAAAGCTAAATGTGCTTGGATAAAGCCCAATTAAATACATTTTTGTACTTTTCCAAAACAGACCACAGGTTGCTATTAAAAAGAGTAATAAAATCAATCTATAGAAACAAAATAGATTAGTGCTTGCCTGGGGGCACGGATGTGGAGTGGCTGTAAATAGGCACAGGATGATGAAAATACTCTAAAATTAGATTGTGGTGATCACTGCACAACTCTGTAAGTTTACTGTAAATCACTGAATTGTACATTTAAAACAAGCGAATTTTAAGGTAAACTATATGGTGATTATTTATGGCAACTTATATATCAATAAAGCTTTTTTTAAAAAAAATGGAAACTATGTTAATTTTTTTTTAATATCCAAGCTACATGTCAGTTAAAACAAGCAAAGTACAGAATAATGTGTATGACATGTTCCCATTTGAAATTTTAAAGTGATTGTATACATTACCTGCCTAGACATTTCTGGAAGGACACCCAGAGGCTGATCATAACAGCTGCTCTGGGAGAAATGGGTCTAGGGTAAGGGAGTTTAATTGTATACTGTTTGGATTCATTTGCTTTGAACATGCATTAATTTTCATAAGTATGAAAATAAGGTAGGTAGAAGCCCTCAGGAGTAGGACTCTTATAGCAGAATCAAGTTTATAATGGTGCTAGTTCATATTGTTCTTTGAGAAGGGGATAGTTTGGTCCTTCAGAATTTAAGTATTTCAGCAAGGTAGGGTGGCTCACACCTGTAATTCCAGCACTTTGGGAGGCCGAGGCAGGAGGACCACTTGAGCCCAAGAGTTCAATACTGCAGTGAGTCATGATTGTGCTACTGTACTCTAGCCTGAGAGACACAATGAGACCATGAGACCCTGTCTCTATCTTTTTTTTTTTTTTTTGAGACAGAGTTTCACTCTTGTTGCCCAGGCTGGACTGCAATGGCACGATCTTGGTTCACTGCAACCTCGCCTCCCAGGTTCAAGCGATTCTCCTGCCTCAGCCTCCCAAGTAGCTGGGATTACAGGCATGCGACACCACGCCCGGCTAATTTTGTATTTTTAGTAGAGACGGGGTTTCTCCATGTTGGTCAAGCTGGTTGCGAACTCCTGACCTTAGGTGATCCGCCTGCCTCGGCCTCCCAAAGTGCTGGGATTACAGGCATGAGCCACCGCACCCAGCCATGAGACTCTGTCTCTAATTATTTCTCAGTAGAAGTCTATGTTAAAAGGTGCCTGTCTTTGACAATAAGATGCCAAGTGGCAGAATCTTCCATCTGAAATCTGATTTCATAAAATCCAAGAGGAAGAGAATCTGAACGCCCTCTTAGGAGGAAAATGGGGTTCGTATGATTTAGTCGTCTGCTTTGGCAGGTGCTGGAACACAACTCAAAGTGGCTTATGGTTTGCAATTACAAATCTGGAAAGACATTAGATACATTCTATCTGACTACAGAACTATATGCATCTAGGGAGTTGAAAATGTTCATAAAGATTTATCAAAAAGAAAAAGAGGCCGGGTGCGGTGGCTCAAGCCTGTAATCCCAGCACTTTGGGAGGCCGAGACGGGCGGATCACGAGGTCAGGAGATCGAGACCATCCTGGCTAACACGGTGAAACCCCGTCTCTACTAAAAATACAAAAAAAAAACTAGCCGGGCGAGGTGGCGGGCGCCTGTAGTCCCAGCTGCTCGGGAGGCTGAGGCAGGAGAATGGCGTGAACCCGGGAGGCGGAGCTTGCAGTGAGCGGAGATCTGGCCACTGCACTCCAGCCTGGGCGACAGAGCGAGACTCTGTCTCAAAAAAAAAAAAAAAAAAAAAAAAAAAAAAAAAAGAATATGCAAATAAAAAACTAAAATGGAATCCAAAAAGGTAGCTGACCACCATTCTCAAATGTTATAACCAGACTTTTGACAACTGCTCAGATCCAGGCCTGGGTTCTACATCTTGCCTCAGCTCATTTTTGGCTTTGGTTCCTAATTGAGCTCTTCACCTTGCCACTTAAGGACACAGGCTCTCTGAATACTGAGAACTTGTGGCTCACAGCATCCTCCCCTCCTCACCTTAGGCTCACCCTGTCATCAGACGGCTTCCTGATTTACAAGGCCAAGGTAACCAGAATTTGGACCATAAAATATTAGTATTCTCAACTGTCAAACATGAACCAACCAGGTGACCTGTTTCCAGGATCATGGCAGCTCCTCCCACCCAGAGCCTCTCCTGCTAGTGGGGTCTTCTTCCTCCAGTGCCTCCACTGACAAAGGAGCCACCGTCTTGGCCACCCCACAAGCCTCTGTCCCGCTAGACTGCTACAACTGACACTGCAGCCCCCACTTCCACTCTCATCTATTTGTGCCATTTGGATTATTTCAACTATATTATTCAACACTCAATCACCTGTATTTACTGAATGGCTGCTCTGCCTAAGACACTGGCAGGGAGGGGAGAAAATAAGAGTATTTTTATAGTAACAATAAGGATAGTGTTTTGTTTCTAATAGCAGCTTGAGAAATAATTCACATACTATAAAATTCACTATTTTTAAATAGTCTGATTCACCAATTTTTAGTATATTCAAAATTTATACCAGAGTTGTGCAAACGTCACCACAATCTCATTTTCGTTACTCCAAAAAGAAACCCACACCCATCAGCAGTCTAGGCTCGTATTTTTCTGAAAAAAAAAATTTTTTTCAGAGTTTCAGACTTGCAAACTTAAAACATTTAAAATTATAAAGTGCCCAAGTTATCCAAAGACTGTAGGGTCCAGATTAATAGAGTTAATAATTACCCACTCTGGGGCATATGCAACATCAAGGGCAGAGGTAAAGATTTGCCTTGGGGAAAAATTCAGCACAACCATGAAAATAACAAGTAGCAATAAATGGGGGGGAGGGGTTGGGGAAGGGGTGGGGGGAGGGCGGGGCAGGGGTTGCATTTGGATAGCGCCTCCCAATGCACTGGAACACCACAGGTAACAATACTGCATTATACACTTAAAAATTTGTTATGAGGACAGATCTCGTGTTGTGTTATTATCAAAATCAAATAAAATACAATGGCATTTTTCAATCCTCCTAACCGTCTTGACAGGAATACAAGACATTTAGAAATGGGGACCCTGATGTTCGGGGGGGGGGGATGCCTGACTCCCAGTCACCCAGCCAGGGGACCCCACCCGGCTCTTCTGATTATCTGGCAGAAGTCAGCAAAACAGCTCAGTCCAGCAGGCTCCATGTTAGCAGTAAGGAACTCTAATTTCATATCTGACTGAAAAAAAGAAAAGAAGCCTATTTATGCTCTCAACACAATAAAGCAGCCTTTGTTTTAGGCTAAGGCCCTGGTGATTTTTTCAGCACCAGTCCAGCTGTGACACACAGACGCTGGTTCGATGCCTGTACAAATGCTTTCTCTTTGTTTACTGGTGAGAACGTGAGACCTCACTAAGGCCCAAGTCCTGGGTTCTCCTGAGGTCACCCCCTGAAGTGAGTAGTGGAGCCTCACTGACAAGGAGACCTACCTGCGCCTTCCCCAAATGCCTGGGAAGGTAGGTTAGAGTTAGAATCTTTTAATTAAAATGAGGTAAAATTCTAATTACTCCATAGTTGTCTCCAGAATAACATCATTTCTGACTCATCAAGTCTTATTAGAACCGGAACCACTGGGAACACCAGCTCCACCTTGTTAACTAAAGAAAGCAGCTCTCTTTCTGCAGGAGCATGAACTCTTTTTTCAGACATAAAAGTAGTATTTAATGGTGGTGCTTATTAGTCTCCTCCAAGCCATTAATGACCTGAAAGAGATTAAACAACTTTTGAAAAGTAATCCATTGTAGGTAACAATGGTTAAGGCTTCCTTCTAGCTACGAAAAACACCCAGAGTGCAGGACACTCACTTAAAATTAACACTGACTTGGATGCACACCACACACAAATACAACTCCCACATGTAATCAATCTATTTTTATATGAATTGGTTGCACCTGGTAACAAATTCTAAACAACATGATGTAAATAAAAGGGTTAGCTGCACTGCACTCTAGCAAACTATTCCACCAGCTTCCACTCCTGCACCGCTCAGCAACAGGAAAACGATGGGGAGGTCTACACTACCAAACAAGTAAGTCACCTCAGATTTGATTTAACCCTAAACTCAACAGTCTCAGGAAGTTCTGTCATACTGGCAGGAAGAACAGACCAGGAGGAGCATTTTCAGGCGCAATACAGCTCGTGCGTGTGTGTGTGTGCGCGTGTGTGTAAGAGTATCAATCATGGCAATCTAGACATTATGAGGCATGGATCAACCACACCACCCAGTGTTAGCAACACGTGGATCATCTGTGCCTCTGTGCATGTGTCACTTTCCACAGTTATATACAAAATGTAACTCCACTACTACACTAAGCTGTTTGAAGGTTAATTCCACATCACATTTATACTCCATACAACTCACAACATATCAGCATCACCTCCTAGACATCACTCCTAATCCCCTAAATTTCAGCTACAGACGCCCTGTACCTTTCCTTGCTCATTACACAGTGGGTCATCTGTATGACCCCCAAAATCACTGGTATTCACATATCTGTGTAGGCCTCTTCCACATGGCACCAGGGTTGGTCTGTGTGACCAATAGAATAATACAGCTCTTGGGTTCTCTTTCTCTTGCATCATTTGCTCTGAGGGAAGCCATGTTGTGAGCAGCCTTATGGAGAGGTCCCTGGGGTGAGGAACTGGCACCTGCTGTCAATGACCACCCAAGTGAGCTTGGAAGCAGATCCTCTAGCCCTGAGATGACTCATGCCCCAGCCAACAGCTCTACTGCGACCTCATGGAAGACCCAGAGCCAGAATCACTTTGCTGGCCAGCCCCAGATTCCTGACCTGCAGAAACTGTGAGATAATAAATGTGGCTGGGCGCGGTGGCTCACGCCTGTAATCCCAGAACTTTGGGAGGCTGAGGCGGGTGGAACACAAGGTCAGGAGATCCTGGTCAACATGGTAAAATCCCATCTCTACTAAAAATACAAAAATTAGCTGGGCGTGGTAGTACGCGCCTGTTGTCCCAGCTAGTCAGGAAGCTGAGGCAGGAGAATCACTTGAACCCAGGAGGCAGAGGTTGTAGTGAGCTGAGATCACGCCACTGCACTCCAGCCTGGGTGACAGAGTGAGACTTCATCTCAAAAAAATAAATAAATAAAAATAAAAAAAAATTTTTTTATTAAGCTGCTAAGTTTCGGGATATGTAGCAATAGATAATAAGACAATAGTCATACCATCTTTACCTGGAATGTTCTTCCCTAAGCCTATCTATCAAAATTCTAAAAAGTTGAGCTCCAAGGAAAGTGGCTTGTCTTTTATGAAAATGCTTTGGAATCTCTCACCAGCATCACTTCTTTCTCTTAAATGGCATGGGTCAGTCTCTAACAGTGATGTTATTCTGTCATGTGTTGCAATTAACGCTCACATGCCTGCATGCCATACTAACTGTGAGCTCCCTAAGGCACAAATCAGGTCTATATCTTCTCACGGAGAGCAGTTAGCCTAGTCATATGAGGGATTCTCATCCACCCCACATCTGTGTAGAGGAAAAACTGGGTAGTGAGCCTGTCAGACATTAAGTTAAGTTTGGGCTGGTCCACAATAATAAAGGCTTAACTGTGAAGAGCCTGTCTCTAGTCAAGGACCACATCTGGAAATAAAGCAGGTCAGTAAAAAGGGGAAGACAAAAAGTACAATCAGGCCAGCTACAGTGGCTCAAGCCTATAATCCCAGCACTTTGGGAGGCCAGGAGTTCGAGACCAGCCTG